CGCGGGGGGCGGGAGACCGCTGACCTTGGCCTTTGCCCGCGCGGGCTTGCGGTTCCGCTCCCCGCTTGCCGGCCCCGGGCCGAGGAACCTTGCCCCAGTGCCCGCCCCGCCGCGGGCGCCTTTCCCGAGCGCGCTAGGATCCACGCCTGCCCCCCCCCACCTCCGGATCGCGACCCCGACGCGCTCCGGAGGCTGGACGCGCGTCCTCGATGTGTCGCCTTTGGGAAGTCGGGTCATTGCTTTCGGGCGGCCTCGGACAGCCCAATGCCCGGCGCACATGCACGGTTGGATCCAAAGCCCATAGTGCTGGACTGGGGTGGGCGGGCGTTCTTTGGGGTCCCCGCTGCTGGATGACGCTGCCCCCGGGTGGGGAACTGTAGACCCCTCTCCGACTTCCAAGAAGCTTTGGGGATGCAGTGGTTAAGCGCTCGCTGCTAACCAGAAAGGTTGGCGGTTCGAACCCCCAAGCTTGTCCGCGGGTGAAAGATGTGGTAGTCTGCTTCCATAAAGATTACAGCCTTAGAAACCCTATGGGGCAGTTCTGCTCTGTCCTATAGGGTCGCTATGAGTCGAAATCGACTCAACGGCACATACCAACAACTCCGACTTCTTGGGTTTAAGCTGGTGTCCACCCCTACAGGTCTGTGTTTACACTTTTGCATCCGGCTTCCAGACGTCCAGAGCCAAACTTTTGGCGCCCTGGCCACACCTGCAGCAGTTGTAGTAACAGTAGTGGCAGCTTTTATCATGATTATTATAAATAGTATCACCGTATGCCTCAGGCTGGTCCATCTTATCTCTTTGGACCCTCCCAGTGGCCCCTGGAGGCTGATACTGTTATTCCCCCATTTCACAGAGGTGTAACCTGTGGCTCAGGAAGGTCACATAACTCACCTGCCCGAAGTCAGTGCCAGAGCTGGGAATGGAACCCCTGTCTGTGAGATTCCAGTCCAAGGCTCTGGTCTGCTGTCCCTTGTCCCATGTCCTGTGACCCCCTCCCACCCCTCAGCTTCACCCTTCATGAGGGGGTCTTTCCCTGTTAGCCCTGTGGGTGTCTCCGGCCTTGATGAGCCTCACAGTTTCCCTGGCCTCATGGGCTGCCCTAAACCCCAACTCCAGCATCCTCCTTGCTTTGGTTGTGGGCTATGACCGAATCATTTAAGAGGATATAACAGGAGTTTCCCACCATGGGGTCTAAAGCCCTCTTTAAAAATATCTGTTGGGTTATTTCTTCACATACGTCCATAAAAGGAAATCGATCATGGGTGGGGAAGGGGTTAGAGAGGGAAGTAATAGAAGCTCCTGAGTTCCCTGATATAAATGAAGTGGATGAGAAAGCATAGGTTTTGAAGGTGACAAACCAAGTTTGCTGAGTAGCTCAGCCACTCGATTTCTCGGAGGCCCCGAGTGCCTGGTATACAGTAGGCATCAATGAAGAGTCGTGGTTGGTTTCGGTTCTTGTTAAGAAAATCCGAGATGAGTTGTTAGACCTATGCCAGGCTTCTTGTATGCACACGTGTATGAGTGTGTACATTGCGTGGGCACGCTTGCATATGTGTGGCTCCTCATGCCTCTGTTCCTTGTAGCTTTGGTAATAATTGTGGATCTGTGCCTGGGCTTCCAGGGGTGAGATACGCTGCTGCTTTCTGTGTTTACAGCTTCCAGGAGGTCAGGGGCTTTTTGTCTGTTTTGTTCACAGTTGCATTTCCATAGCCTAGCGTGGTGCCTGACACATGCTGTCAACTCGATTTCAACTCACAGCGACCCCGTGTGAAGGAGTACAACTGCGTCGTAGGGTTTCTAGGCTGTAATCTTTACCGGAGCAGAGCGCAGAGTCTTTTCTCCTGCGGAGCTGCTGGGTGGATTCAAACCACTAACCTTTTGGTTAGCAGTTGAGTTCTTAACCGTTGCACCACCAGGACTCCTTTGGCACATTGTAGGTGTTCGGCCAATATTTGTTTTTGAATGGGGCTGGGTACAGAGCCTCGGAAGGAGCTCCTTTTTTCGCCAGATACTGCTTAACAACAAGAAGAGCAAACAGTTAGCAGGCGCTGTTCTCCGTGCTTTGTGTATATAATCTGAGTTCATCCTCAGGAAGTGGTCGTAGTAGTAGATGTTAGCTGTCTTCCAGTCGATTCCGACTCATGGTGACCCCATGTGTGCAGAGTAGAACTGCTCCATGGGATTTTCAAGGCTGTGTCCTTTCGGAAGCAGATCACCAGGCCTGTCTTCCGTGACACCTCTGAGTGTGTTTCAACTGCTTGCCTTTTGGCTGGTAGTTATAGGGCCTCGTATTCCTTTTTGCAGATGAGGGGAGCCCTGGTGGTGCAGTGGTAAAGAGCTCAGCTGCTAACCAAAAGGTCGGCAGTTCGAATCCACCAGCCGCTCCTTGAAAACCCTGTGGGGCAATTCTGCTCTGTCCTGTAGGGTCACTGTGAGTCGGAATGGACTCAACGGCAACAGGTTTGGTTTTGCAGATGAGAACTGCCCAGAACTCCAGAGCCAGCAGGTGGCAGAGTCGAGATTAGAACCCAGAGCACTGATTTCTTAAGCAAAGGTTGTTCTTTCAGTAACTGATTCCCGCGTGTGCCTAAGCCTCCCCCAGCCCTAGCCTGGGGTAATGTTTGACGATATTCTATCAAATAGATGAGATGTGATGCACTTTGAAGACGTGGGGGGGCGGGGGGGGGGGACAGGGAGGAAGGACCATCTTTCCAGATCATTAATCTCTGTTGTTGTCGTACGCTGTCCAGTCAGTTCCTACTCATGGCGACCCCACGTGACAGAGTAGAACTTCCCCGTCGGGTTTTGTTTCCTAGGCTGTAATCTTTATGGGAGCAGATTGCCAGGTTGTTCCACAGAGCCTCTGGTGGGTTTAAACCGCTGACCTTTCAGTTAGCAGCCGAGCGCTTAACCGTTGTGCCATCAGGGCTTCTTCATTAATCCCTAACATCAGCCAATACAGCATTTTGGACTGGGTGGGGCGGAGGGAAATCAGTGCCATTTTTAAAGAGTGAAGGACTGTCTTGGAGACGTTGTATGGGGCTGCGCAGCCGTCGTCCGTGCTCCCGTGGAGTCTTCGTTGCTGGGTGGACCTGGCTAGGGCTGCCTTCCCCGTTTCCATTTAGATTGGATAGTTCTGGCCCCAGGTTCCTCATAGGCGTTGCAGAGTCACAGAACTAAGGCGGTGTGGGATTAGTGAAAATCAGACCTCACAGGGTTTCCTGGGGTCAAGCTAGTTGGCCAGTTGAGGCTTTGTTTCCAGGCACTCCTGATTTATTAGTTATCCCTGATTCTCAGGCACCCCTGATTTCTCAGACACTCCTGATTTCTCAAGGGATGGTCATGAGACGTTTCTCTGGTGTGTTTGGCACAGAAGATCTCCTGGTCCCCAGGCTCCCCAGGACTCTTGGAGCAGAACTGTCACCTGCTCAGTCACCTCTCTGCGGTTATTTCAAACCTCTGCTTCTTTCCTGGGGCCCCTGCCCCACTCTGTTATCCCCATGGGGTCCCCACCTCACCCTACTTCCATTCCTATTTTGTTGTTGTTCTTGTTGGCTGCTGTCAAATCAACCTCTGACCCCATGCATAACCTTGTCCTGCACCATTTCTGTGATGGTTTGCAGATTGGACCATTGTGATCCATGAGATTTTTACTGGCTGATTTTCAGAAGTGGATCACCAGCCCTTTCTTCCTAGTCTTAGTCTGGAAGTTCCCCTGAAACCTATTCAGCATCATAGCAACTCTCAAGTCTCCCCTGACATATGGGTGGTAGCTGCACACGAGGTGCATTGGCCAAGAATCGAACCCGGGTCTCTCGCATGGAGGGTGAGAATTCTGCCACTGAACCACCAATGTTGTTGTCATTAGGTGCCGTGGAGTCGACTCTGACTCCTAGTGACCCGTGTGTTCTACAGAGTAAAACTGCCCCATAGAGTTTCCTAGGCTGTAATCTTACGGAAGCAGATTGAAGGTGTTTCTCCCATGGACCCACTGGGTGGGTCTGAACCACCAGCCTTTCGGTTAGCAGCTGAGTGCTTAACCGTTTGTGCCACTAGGGCTTCTTTTGAAAAAAAACCACCAATGTCCCCTTTCTATTTCATGAGAGCAGGACTTCTTACCCCTGGCATTCTTGGCATTTGGGTCTGGATCATTCTCTGCAGTGGTGGTCGGGTGGCATCCTGTGTACTGTAGGGTATTGAGCCAAATCCCTGGTCTCCATCTGTTAGATGCCAGTTGAGAACCACTGCAGCAGAATTAGCCTCATCCTTGTCTAAGACACTTACCCACCTGGGCCCCTGCTGTCTCCCCTCTCTCCATCCAGGGAGCTCCTTCCACCCATGAGCCTTGCTCCTTTCAGCCTATAAACATTCAGTACTCCCGAACCCCATTGCCCACCGCCTGGCCTGGCTTCTAAGCCTGGCCCCCACCCACTTTTTTACCCACTGCTCTGCCCACGGCGTCAACTATGGCTCTCCGTGAAGGTAATCCTTCACCTCCCAATTTTATCTTCTGTGGTCTCACCTCACTTGACCCCTCTGGGTTTGACGCTGCCCACGCCCTGCAGCTAGAAGGTGATTTATCACCTGCTCCTTGCTTCTCCCCTTTGCTGCTTCTCCCACCCACGCTTAGAAGCTAGCCCTCTTGTCTCCTGGATCCCTTGTTGTTGTTATTGTGTTAGCTGCTGTCGAGTTAACCCCTGGCTCCACGTGTTACACAGTAGAACTGCTCCGTAGGGTTTTCTTGGCTGTGATCTTTAACGGAAGCAGTTTGCCAGGCCTTTCTTCTGCGTAGCCGCTGGTTGAGTTTGAACCATCAGCGTTTAGTTTAGCAGCTGATTGCAAACTGCTCGTGCCAGCCACACTCCCCAGCCTCTGTTCTGATCCTCTCTAAGCCTAGATTTTTATTTACATAGGGTCTGACCTGACTTCTTCATCTAGAATAGATGGGCCTCGGGGGCCAAATCCTGCCCACCACTTGCTTTTGTAAATAAAGTTGTATTGGCACACAGCCATACTCATTCATGTACAGACTGTCTTTGATGGCTGCTTTCTTTCTGCAAACGCAGAGTTGAGTAGTTTCAACAGAGACAGCATGGCCTGCAAATCCCCAAATATTTACTTTTTGGCCCTTTACAGACAAAATTTGCTGACCCCATGTCTGGAACAAACTTCTTGGGGGTTTATTCCTCATGGCATGCTTGTGTGGAGTACCTGGGTGGCACAAATGGTTAAAGTGCCCGGCTGCTAATAAAAGGTTGGAGGTTTGATCCGCCCAGAGGTGCCTTGGAAGAAAGACCTGGTGATCTTCTGAAAAATTAGCCATTGAAAACCCTGTGGAGCACAGTTTTACTCTGACACGCATG